CCCCAAAACCCCAAAACCCCAAAACCCCAACAAATGTACCAGCTATTGAAACTTAAGAATTTACGAAGCTCCTAAAATGTTCACATGACCTAGTCCACAGTTCTCCAAGATCTCCTTGATTTCTTCCTTCTTCATTCCACAGTCCCACATCCCCACCTCCTCCAAGTTTTCTCTGAGGGTGTCGGCCTGTGCGAGCCCAGCCACCAGGTTGTTGAAGCACGAGCTATCCTTCTCCCAGTCTCCGTGGGCTCTATTTCCTGATAAGTTGAAATCTAATCTCCGAATGTTGGAGTTCTCCACGGAGTCAGGGAAGGAAGCCACAGAGGGAATGTGCAGAATGCAGTAGGTGAAGCCAAAGTATGTGACCTTGTGAAAGGCAGTGAGGAGGGCGATGGTCTGGAGCTGGGAGATCTTAAAATTACAAAGACAAACCACCTTTGTCACACAAGGAGCAGCAGCCAGCAAGGCAGAGTGGTACAGGTCAATGCTCTCCAGAGCAGAGGCACCATTAAAGCTAAACTCCCTTACTGTTTTGGGGAAATACTTGGCTATACAATGCTTTACCTCCTCTTGACTCTCTCTAAGAATATGCCTAATCCAAAATGTTTTTAAATCAGGAAGTCTTTTGTCAAGCCCCGTGATCACATTCATATCTCCTGGTCTGTTCATCCTTAGTTCGAGATCAGCAACTGGTCTAAAAGGCTGCTGTCAGCCATTTTGAAACCAATAGTAGTAGTCGAAGCCAGTTGAAGAGAAGGCGAGTCTGTCCAAAATGGGTTTGGGCTGGGCAGGCATGTATTTTAGAGAAGAAGTTTTTCGTGAGCAGGTGTGGCAATTAGCCATCACTTCTTCTGTCAGTAGTCTCCAATAGGATTCGTCCTTAAGCTTAGAAAAGATGTCTTGCTTGCTCATCGCCTTCTTCAGCAGGTTGATTTCTTTATCAAGATCTTCAAGTTCTTGGAATTCTCCTTTCTCTTCAATGTCTATGGCTCTAAGTTTAAGCAGCACTAGTTTCTGTTCCCAGCGTTGATGCAACTCTTGGATATCTCCTTCATATTTTTGGCAATCTTGGGTGTATGTAAAGAAGTTCTGCAGTGCCTTTGAAACTATTATAGCCTTAATTTTGAAGCTCCTCACAGTAGGCTTTGTCTGGCCTTCACTCTCCAGTGATTTTAGACCGAATGGGTCCTCCTGATAAGCTTCTTTTGAGTCTTCGGTGCGCCTAACTGTACCAGAAGATATATATTTGGATGCAACGCTTTGTTTGTTTCCCATATTTAATAGTTATTAAAATATCACTACCAATATATAATCATTTCAATCCATGAATCACTCCGTGGGGTTTTGGGGTTTTGGGGTTTTGGGG